AGACCTTTCACCTTTATTGTTCCTGCCTGTAGCCATCTTTTAAAGGCACAGGCACTCAGGAGTAGCATTGTGGAAGCAAGCCACCTCCAGCCAGGACCCTGGAAGGCCCACTCAGAGCCATGTCCCAGGGACAAGCCCCCCAATACCTCTCTGGCCCTTCCAGGGACACATCCCAGCACCAAGTCAGGGGAACCAAATGGACAAATGGCAATTTGCGCTGTTATCTGGGAGGTGATTGCCTTCCCTGGTCCTGTGCCTGTTCCTGCTCAGCCTGCCCTCCCCTTCCCCCCACCCACTGCCATCCCAGACCCAGGTGCGGCCCCACCTCCTGCCCAGCTCCCTACTGTCCCAGTCCGCATGCACGACTGTCTCCAAGCAGGCTCCCGTACCTAAGGTGGCAGGAGCTCTTCATCTGGGCGGCACCGTCAGCCCTGAGCCTCTCTTCCAGGTTTACATCCCCCTTCCTACCTGTGAGAGTCAGTGAGGGGAGCACTTTACTTTGATAACAAAAAGTGTATTTTTCTTTACAAAAGTTATATGGGTTTTGTAACATAAACTTGCTTACAGTGCAATAAACTGTAAGCATTTTATCAAGCACACCTGTCTCTGTTCTCTGAGTTAATGTGTACAACGTGGGGCAGGGCTGGGTTTTGGGGAGGGAAGGCACTGGGGGCATGGGGCACACCCACATTTGGAAGGCCCTGGAGAAACTCATTGGGCTTATTGGGAGAATCTCTCCGTCGGGGCTTCCTAAATGCACAGTCCCAACTGGTGGGCTTGGAGGATGGCAGCTGTCCGGGGCTGCTCAAACTACCTCTCCTCCACATCAGCCCATGCCCCTCACCCTGGGAGGAAGGCCTCCCCTTTCCTCTCCACCAGGTTGTGCAGCACACAACAGGCAGCAACCACTGTGGGGATGTTGCGTTCCCACATGTCTATTAGAGTGAGCAGGCATCTAAACCTGCCCTTCAGACGGCCAAAGGCGCACCCTACCTGGAAGCGAGCCCAATTCAGGTGGGAGTTAAACAGTTCCCTGCTCGCATCCAGGTGTCCAGTGAACGGCTTCATGAGCCAGGGCATAAGGGGGTATGCCGCATCGGCCATGATGCACATAGGCATCTGCACACCCCGACTGCAAAGTTTCGCTCTGAAAAGAATGTCCCAGCCTGCAGCCTGTGGTACAGGTACGAGTTCTGGAAGATGCGGGCATTGTGTGCCTGGCCTGACCACCTGACCCAAATGTCTGTGAATTGTCCCTGGTGGTTGACCAGGACCTGCAGCATCGTAGAAAAATAGCCCTTTCTGTTAATATACTGGGCTGCTCAATGGGACGGTGCGCAGATCGGGATGTGAGTCACATCGAGTGCTCGACCGCAGTTTGGAAATCCTAGCCCCGCAAATCAGGCCACGATGGTATCCAGGTCTCTGAGGCAGACAGTCCTGTGAAGCATCTCCAAATTGATGGCCGTCACCACCTGCAGAACATTTCAAAGGTTAGCATTCCTCCTAATCCCTCCTCCCCCTTCCTCCTTCTTTCTGATAGAGGCAGCAAGGCTCAGTATTAGAACTCTCTACCTGTTGTTTCTTTAGATCAGTGTTTATCAAACTGTGCTCTGCGGAGCTCCAGGGGCTCCTCAGGGTTGATAAACTGGAAACATCGATAGGTACAACACATACAATCAGTGGACCACTGGGGCTTCCCATAAATTTTTATGCATGTATGTAAAGGGCTTCGGAGGCCAAAACGTTTGAGAACCGCTGCTTTAGATCATCATAAAGACTCCAAGCCTTTTTCTGAATTATGTCTAAACTCACAGGGGTGCGTCTAGACTGGCAAGATTTTGCACAAAAGCTACCGCTTTTGTGCAAAAACTTGCCAGCTGTCTACACTGGCCGCTTGAATTTGTGCAAGAGCACTGACATTCTAATGTAAGAATTCAGTGCTTCTTGCGCAAATACTTTGATGCTCCCGCTCAGGGATAAACCCTCTTGCACAAGAATACTTGTGCAAGAGGGCCAGTGTAGACAGGCACCTTAATTTTTTGCACAACAAAGCCCGATGGCTAAAATGGCCATCGGAGCTTTCATTCGCAAAAGCGCGTCTATACTTGGCATGAATGCTTTTGCACAAAAGCACTTTTTGCGCAAAAGCATCTGTGCCAATTTAGATGCTCTTTTGCGGAAATACTTTTAATGGAAAAACTTTTCCGTTAAAAGTATTTCTGCAAAATCATGCCAGTCTAGACACAGCCAGAGGAGCACAGTGTTGATTTTAATCTTTTAGCCAAAGAATTAAGAGATTATCAATCTAGGCAATAAATCCAACACTCCGCTTAGTTATCACAGTCACTTACCCAGGAGCTGAGCTCTAACATGTTCCTGAATTCGTAGCTTGTCTTTCAATCATGGGAAATCCAAAACTTTACCAGTTTCAGTTGGCATCTCACCTTTCTCAAACCTCTTAATTATTCCATTTTTGTTTCCATTGTAAATGTTCTACATTTATTAGAAGAAACATCATTTGCACCAGTTTTTACTTTTCTGCCATTATTATGGGCAAAGAAATGCTAACCTTTAAGAAAAAGTTTGGAAGCACAAAGATTCACCATCTAAAAATGGCATTGGAACAGCAAGTGAGGATCTTGTGTTAGAAAGAGGGTGGCACAAAATATTTATCAATATATGAACTTGTTCATTAACATGGCATCGTGTCAGTTCAAGAGTCATAAAATCAAAATTGTAATTGGAAAGTCAAAACTAGGTGTCCATTTACAAATGGGTAAGTGCCGTTCATCATAACTCGAAAGTCATAAAGTCAAGGCCTGCCTGCATACTCAAATGTCTCTGACTCAATGCCTTACTGCTTTTAATATTTAGTAAGAGTTGCCTGCATTTTAAAAAATCCATATATGTACTTGTATGTTGTGGGGGTATGGGCATAAACTACTACAGACACAAACAAGGGGGGCACGATCAAGTAAGTCTGAGAACACAGACGATTCTTCCCAAAATAAAACTAATTGGCATAGTTAAGGCATCATGTCACAAAGGCATGTGTCGCAGTGATCAGATCACCAGCAATGGCTGCAGACTTGTAATATTCTCAAAATGGCTGTACGCCTGCCATATCATGCGTGCCAAGTTTTATCTTATAATCAGCTCTGATCAAGAGGGAATTATAAAGGGGAAAAAGGGAGAGGAGAGAAATACAAATACTAATTTTATTTTAAGATCTCCAATGTAGAACCACAATATGTTTTTGAATATACACATGCATATAAATGGGATGGACTACCTGACAGCAAGTAGCTATACTGAAAGTTCTATATAGAGTGTCCTTTATAAATGTTCTTGCCTGCATTTATAAACATTCACTTGTGAGAACTTCCTGTGGGTTCAAGCTTTGCAGACAAGGTCTTGACATTCCAAATGCCATATTCTCAGACTCTGGTGCTCAACATTTGGGCACCCAAATCTCTATTTAAACACCTAAATATATGTTTTTACTAATCTGATCTAATTTCTTTGGAAGTCAATCTAAAGAAGCCTGTTGGTTTCATGGGGGTGTTGATCCAATTTATTGCTGTTAACTACTGATTGATTTGCCTAAATCAACACTTAGAATTCCAACTTTGAAAATTTGGCTGCAAACCAATTCAGTAATTTAAGTTTTGGAAAGTTATATTGGTCATGAGAAGGATTTTTTATGAACTGACAGGTATTTTTAAGATATTCTAATTTGAAATTATATTCAGTTTTAAATGATAAACATTTTGGAGGATTAGATAGGTATAATTTTTCTTTCCATTGCTAAGCTTATAATGTTTCAACAGACTTATCTTTAAAGAGGCAGTTAAATTTAAACTTCTCAGGTATTCTGTTTTCCTTTGCAATTTAGTAGATATTATAAGACTAGTTTGTTTAAGAAAACAAAATGTGACAGCTATCATTAATTTATTTTGAAGAAATATATCCATGGTGTTAAAAGAATGTGACTCTTGGCATCTGGATAGAGCCAGGTAATATTGATGTGAGTTACCATCTGCTGATTGTTAACTTTGCAGCCTCTTCTCTATAAGACAGTGCCTTTAGGACTCCTGAGGGTGCAAAGAAAAACAGAAATAAAGCATCATGAAAGGAACTGATAATGTCACTGTGATTTTGAGGCAATGCCCATATATCAGAGTTGTTAGATAGTTTAATCTCAACCCCACACTCGTTAGGTTGTGTGTACCCTTTCAACCTTTTCCTCTTCTTGTTCTTTGAAGAAGTCAGCTTCCCAGGAAAATGTAGCTAAATGAATAACTAAAAAGGATTTATGGCTGTTTTTCATGTATAGGTACCTTTCTCTTTTATTAAAGAAAGATTTACATTTACTTTAATCTCCAATAGTAAAGCCTCTAATCGCTCAGTCATATGTACCCAAGATGTTGGTGTTGAAATTATCTGTGAGGATTGCTGAATGTTCTCTGGGAACTATGAACTTTTGTTCCCTCATATGTAGGCCACAACCAAAATTCTTTCCTTGGTGACAATGAATGGGTGTGATTATAAAAATGGATCTTAAACAGAAAGCAAAATGAACTCTTTTGTATGTGCTTATGTATATGCCAGTACAGGTTGAACCTTGACAGTCTGGCACACTCCAGTCCAGCAACATCCATGATCCGCCATGATTTTAGTTAGCCAGATATCCATTTCTCATAGGTGTGACCAAGTTTCCCACGGTCCCATAAAGTTTGTTTAAAGCCACCAATCCTGGCGCTCAATGTTCTGTGCTGTTATTTAGCTCTAATTTACTCCTAAATGTCTTCTAAGAGCCCAGCAATCAGTGAATGCTGCTAGACAATATTGACCTTCCATGGTCCGGCAAATTCTCTGGTTTGGCACCAGTCAGATCCAGAGGATGTTGCACTAGTGAGGTTCAACTTGTACAGTTTTGATTAATAAAAAAATATATCTGTATATCTTCCTTTCCCTATGATTCCAACTAAATGAAGTCAAGGACGACTGGAACTTCATATGGGGTTTCCACGTTCCAAGATGATATGAGCAGTGAAGATCTGCGGTATCGTTCTACTTTGTTCTCACCAAGAAGCTCAAGAAGGAGGCTGGAGGATGAGGTTGAATCAGCTGTGTGTACAGTGAACAAGCGCATAGGCATCTCACCAGCTCTGGGTAATGCATTAGAGCACATTGTGGAGCAGCTGGATGTTTTGACTTTAGTGAGTATGCAACAGACTTATAACATTTTCTTGCTTAATATGGTAATTCCCTCATTACTGGAGTAACAAATCTTGAGCCATGCTCATGATCCGAAGTATTATAATGTTGTGTGGGCTGACTCTGCAAATGGTTAGAGGCCTGGGGAATTCTTTCAACATCATGAAATGTTGACAATATGAATTAAAGCCAAACTAGAAGATTCTTTAAAACCCCTTTCCTGTTGCACAACTGCTAATGGTATTTAAAAACTTCAAAAGACTATTATATGTTTACCTTTTTGACTGGGAAAGTTGAGATTTTTCAGTAGTAACCACTAATATTGATTTACCAGAAGTTGCTGTTGACTAGAGAGTGTTAGATTCCAACTTGAATAATCATGCTCTGGCAGAGGATGAGCAAAATAAAAATGGTAGAATGGTTGAGAGAAAAGAATTCCTATCTTGGTAGTTCCAGGAATGTATCCATTTTCATCCTGAAAGCTTCATGACCTAGGTATGAAGGTGGAATCCAGGCATTGGCATAATTCTAAAAATCAGTGTGAGACAGAGCAAATGCCAACATTAATCTTACTCAGTTGCAAGTTCTCAACATTTCCTCTCAGTAACTCAGCACCAGTCAATTTATATTTAAGGTATTGCACTATACTTGGTAATTTATTAAAAGTGTACCTAATTGAAATGGGGTGTTCAGATAAATGTAGTGAAAGAAATTCTGAGAGAGTACTTAATTTATCAGATGAGTGAAAAGGCTACCAGTTAATTTTGGAATAATGTAAGATTAAATAAAGTGAATTCCTGGAGGGTGCCTTTTATGTAGTACTTTAAAAAAAAGATTTTTGGTTGCTTTTGCAGCGCTGTTTGTTGTAGCTGGAGATGTAAAATATATTCCATTGATGGATAGTATTTCAATTTAGTTTATTTATATTGAAGTATGCGTAGATGAATAATTATGAAGAGATACATACCTTCCAGTAAGTTTTGTTGGAGGCAGATTTTTGCCTTTTGACAATCTCCTAGTTAAAAAAGCCATAGTATTAATTTTGGGTTTAAATGGTAGACTATCTGAAGCCAGTACTGCAGCTCCAGAATTTTCTGTTATTTGGTGAAAGCCATTATTTTTGTGTGTAAAGCATTGTGCACATTTATGATATTGCAAAAACATGTACAAAATACGTTACTGTCCTCTTCTTGCAGACTATTTCAATCCTGGAGCAGCGACTGACTTTGACTGAAGATAAACTAAAAGAATGCTTAGAAAATCAACACAAAATGTTACTTCAGGCTAGGCAAGGAGAATAAAGAGTTCAAATGTAGTTGATCTGTGCTGATGAATATGTTTCATACATTCTCAGGGAACTAATAAATGATGCCTAATTTAATTTCACTATGAGCAAAATGCAAATTTTGTTTTAGTTTAATGTGTTCCTGTAAGGAGAAAAAGTGAAAAAGCACATACAGTGTATTTTAAATATCAGTGGCAAACTAACATTTGGTTAATATATTTAATAAAATGTGGTTTAGCTGAAGACTAATACAGTTTTAATACACATTTTGGATGACTCTTTGACATCCATCAGAGGATGAGGATATCACTCTCTTGTTTGTTTGTTTTGTTTACATCCATCAGAGGATGAGGAGATCACTCTCTTGTTTGTTTGTTTTGTTTGTTACCTTCCAATCTTTCATCTGCATTACATCCTACCAGTTGTCAGCCCTCAAATATTTTTCCTGTCCTACAGAACTTTTTTTAAAGGCATTGAACCACAAATTATGCAAATTTAAATGGAAAGCATTTATTGTGAAAGGGAGTAATGCAGATTTTTCAATTTTAGTGAGACTTACTTAAAATAAAATTGCCTTAAGAACTGCAGGAAAGAATTGTACACACAGAATTAACAAGAAATGACTCATTCTTCTAAGAAGTTTCAGGAGGATTTTAGGGAATTCTGTTTTGTAAGGATAATGAACTTTTTTATTATAGATATGAAAATGAAGTAACTTGAGCCTTTCTCGAGTGGTTGAACCCGTACAAATCAAGTTATTAGACTGAGTTTCTATTTTATATTTCCATTTATTATCTACACAATTAAATTTTAATTTTCCTATATAAGGTTTATACTGAAGCAAAATTAAGTTTAATATTTTTTGAAAAATACCAAACATCAAAGTAAATCTAGGCTGATGCTGTAAACCTGTAATGCCCTGATCTTGTAAATACTTACGCAATGCAAAACTTTTTGTACCACCAGTAGTCCAGTGGAAAGCAGTTAAAGGAACATGAAATAAGCACCTGTAGAAGCCAATGCAGAATTAGAACCTAAAAGAGTAAGGATTTCTACTCTTAGTTTGCTTTTTAAACCTTTCAGGCATGTTGTAAATATTGCTGCTTTGATTATTTTTAATAAAGAGAAGAAAGCAGAAAGGAAACTTGTTGTAAACATGAATTGGCAATCATTATAGGGAAAATTTCTACCTCCTCTATAATATGAAACTTTTCCTTTGTTTCTTTACATCTTCACAGTGTCAATAAATGTCAGTCACAGAACATCTCTCTTGAAAAATTTACAATCAAAATTGAAGAGACTTTCCTTTCTACAGCTTCGTGCTTACATTGCAAATTTGTGTTATGTATAAGACAAAGGGAAGATCATATAAATAATGCAAATTAATACTCAGTTGTGCAACTGAATTTGGATAGCTGAACACCTTTTCCTGCATTGAGCTCCATGAGATTTCTGCGTGAGCACAAGAGCACACCTATGAAGATTTGATTGCAGAACTGGGGCAAAAGTGGCCAACAATATATCTCAAACATTGTCATTTAACACTGTCATTGTTCACCCATCTCTGACTATGTGTCACCAGAATCTATGATGCACAGTAACCTCTGAGTTTGGTCAATTGATATATTTTAAAAAAACACGAATCAAATAACACACATTTTATACTTTGATCTTGTAATGTACTTGTCATCGGGGGAAGAAACATATAATAGGGAACTAGCCTTTCAGTTTAGTTGTGTGGGTTCATATATATTTCTATGAAAAAATATACTTATAAAATATCCTCCGGTAAATGCTATTCTCTGGATGGCTTACAACATCTGGGATAACATTCCACCAACCAAAGGGTGGAGGTGGGCCAGAGGCAGATCCTCAGTTATATGAGTTCATCAAGTCTGTTCTGATGTTGCGCTCTCCTATCCCTCAAAACAGGGGCACCAGGCATCTGCCCCTAAAAATAGAGGTGAAGCAGCTGGACTTGTTTGGGAGAAGGCTTGTTTGGGAGAAGGCTGGACTTTGTTTGGTAGAAGGTAAACTGCAGCTTTGTATTCCAAACCAACATGCTTTTTTTGGGGCGTTATGATCTCATCCTGTGGGATACAGTTTCAGAGTTCAAAAACAGGCTCCTAGATTAGTTGAAACAGGAGTTTCAAACATTAATAAAGGAAGGCAAGTTGGTTGCCAAAACAGCTCTGAAGGCCTGGTGAAATGCAGCAGATTCTGTAGTATACAACATGTACTTTTGCCATCATGGTAATGAGCTGTCCTAGTTACACATTTCGGACCTCCCTCCAGAGCCTCAGCAAAGTCCAGGACCTCCCTTTTGAATGTCCATTTCTTTTTCATAAGAGAGACCCAGAATAGCTTCAAAGACTAGAGCAACACAGAGACTTTTGAAGCAAAAGGTATTCTGTCCTCATCTGTCCCAGCGTTTCCAAAGGTTTGTCCCTGACTCTCACCAGGCTTCAAGAGTCTGCTGTGGGAGCCTGCAGGATCAGAATAGGGATAGGAAGAGGGGAGAGTCTGAGCACTATGAAACAGGAAAGGCATCATCTCTGCTTGCCTCTTATGCCCACCACCCATGCAAAAGCTCCTCTCTTCTAAAGCCCTGTGAATTTTTGAAATTCCGTTTCCTGATGGCACAGCGTGGCAACACACTTAGCAGCTCTCCATTATTAAGTGCAACTGCCCAGCTGACCATACTAGCAACATGCTCCAGACTGGAGTAGGCAGGGGATATTGGAACTCAGGCCTGTGAGGAGAAAAGACTGCGCAGGCACAACTCTGAACCAGCCACAGAAACATTGGCATCTATAAGGAGATCACTGTTCACCGTTAGCTCTGCTTTGGAGGTATTTCAAAGAGTAGCTACACAGATCTTTAAGGGATAATTAAGTGCTAGAGTTATAACAGATGATGTTTTAAAACTAGGAATTTTAGACACAAAGATTTAGGAAAATTGTACAGTGAGTAAGAGATCTTTTACCTAAAACAGAAATACAGGAAATAACGTATTGGCCTAACAGTAATTGTGTATAAATTGAGGAAAAAATAGCTTAATTGCAAATTCAGGTAATACAATCATTGAAATGTCCATTTTAAAATGCCTAATGGCTCTTGAGAGGTTTAGGGCACTGATAAACTATTTGGCAAAGTTAATTTCACTTCTGCTTACGGTCACTGTAACATTATCACTGGAAAGATAGACAAAAACAAGCATTTAAGCAATTAAAAACACTGATTGAGCTGCAAATTTCACAGTTTTATGACTAAATCAGCTGCATTGTCAGATACAGGAAGAGAGATGGTTACATTTTTCTAAAAGAGGCATACTGCAACTGTGTCCAAGTTGACAGAGATGCTATAAATTATTAGATTGCCTTAAATATAGTCTGTATGTTTATAATCCCAACACAAGTTTGAAAGAGAGATAAGTTTCTTTAAACTATCTTTAGCCCCACTTATGATATGTTGCTGAAGCCACAAAGATACTGTTTGTCTCACCCTTGATAAGTTAAATAAAATGATTCCTTAAGCAACAGTCAAGGTAATTAGAGAACATGTATCAATCATTGCTCACTAATGCTGAGGTTGTGAAGTCCAAGGTGCATCTAGCTAAAACTACAATATAATCTGCCTGGAATGAGTCATGTTAGCAATTGTGTCTTGGAAAATAAAGCAGCAAATATATGCAGGATTGAAATAAACTTTAATTGACCAATTAAGTGACTTTGAAAAATATTTGAAATATATTGGTCAGTTATATGTTGTTTTAAAGTTAATTGTGTTACCTATTCTTTACTTCTTCTAAAGTATCAAATAATAAGTGCAAAAAAGGAAGGAATTTGTTAGTATGTGAGAGTAACCCAAGGGCCTTTTGATGCCAACTGGCAGAGGGCACAGGCCTATGCAATGATACAGGGATCTCTTGGATTCACACAAAATGTCATGTAAGGTTTCCAGTGAAAGCCTGAGCAACTGGTCATGATAGTAATTGAAAAGTGTATGTGGTAAATATGTAAGAAGATATGTATATATATGCTAAAAATCATGTTCTCAAAACCTTTTAGTTAAAATTGGGTCACTCAAAGGCACCATGCCTGGAGACAAACTTCTCCAGACAGGAGATAGGATACTGTCATCTGAGTAGACCTCTGTGTATGCTATGTCTCACAAAAGAAGTTTAGTAGCATAGTGAATCAGTTGCTAACTCAGAACTGGTAGTGATGTCAGTGCAAAATTAACAGGAAGAGGTAAATAGTGGAAGGGCTCAGGTACCCTATTTTCAGATCAACATCAAAGGGCTGGGCTGGTGTATTTGGAGATGCAGAGATGCTCTGACACCCTTCCAGCTTGAGGACAAGCTGCCATTGGCCTTGATCTTATGAAAGGGGGATCTTAGCCCCTTGCTAAAAATGCTGGGAGAAAAGGACTTGGGGTAAGCAATCCTGTAGGAAACAGGATATTGTCTAGTGTGTTTAAATTTAGGCTCCAAATAATCATTTAAATTTCTGTTCATTGATAATAAATGTATTCTTGTTTTCCTTATAAATATATCTGAGACTTGTGTATTAAACAGAGTGGTGATCCGGAGTTAAAACTAGTGAGCGGGTGTGTACAATTCCTTTTGGAATCAGTGGGTCAGAGTTCTTTGAGTGTATACTGGACCAGGGCTGGGCACTCCGGTATGATGCTTCAAGGACTCAACAGTTTATATTGACCTATTACTTAACTGCAAAGGGACAGTGAAGCCTGCAGGGGCTGAGAGGGAGTACTTATGCTGCCTGTGGCCAGGGTTGTCTGTGAACTGACCCTTGGCAGCTACAGACAGGGCTCTGTCATGCTAAAAAAACATGCTAGCAAGGTGTCTCTCCCCTGTGAAACATCATTCTGTGACAATGTTACAGTCTATCTTAAGCTTCTAACCATGCCTAATGTGAACTAGATATTTCTAAAAGTCTCAGAGGGTTAGCTGTGTTCATCTGTAACTTTAAAAACGAGTGGTCCTGTGGCACCTTAGAGATTAACAAAAATACATATTTAGTATCATGAGCTTTTGTGGGCAAAATCAAGGTCATCTCATCTGAAGAAGTGGGTTGTGCCCATGAAAGCTCTTCATACTATCTATTTTTGTTAGTCTCTAAGGTGCCACAAGACTACTAGATATTTCTAGTTACCTCAGCAAATTCAGATTCAGGTAACTGTTCATGCCATTAATAAAACATACTGTGCTTTTTCTCCAGATTAGAGCGGAGAGAAAAAAAATTTCAGACCAAACTAAAAAAAATTGGAAAAAAAAATTTAGGTTGGATCAGACTATATCTGACTCTTCTATTTTTCTCATTGAAAAAAAAAATTTAAAAAAAACATTTTGTTTGACCCAAAATGAATGGGTCATGAGTAAGCCATGTTTCGTTTTTAGTCATTTGGGGTATTTTTCACCCATTTTTTTTAAAGCTACTTTTCTAAATGAAAACACCATTTTAAAATGCCTAGTTTCTACATGATCAAAAATAAATGTTTACTTTCAAAATGCTCCATACATTTCATTTAGAAATGGCCAGAATGAATAGTTCTGGCTTTTTAAAACAATTTTTCCATTTAGTTTTTGTGTAAATTATTCACCAAATTGAACCCAAAGAGTTCCAGTGCTCCACTGAAATGCATTTTTGGCTAATTTATTATTTGCCAAAAATCTTTTACTCAGTTTTATTCTTGGTAAACATCATTCCTGAAACATTACATGGTGTCAGATATAAATATTTACCCAGAGAAGGTTCTTCCTCCAAGGCACCTTCATACTTATTCAATACTAGTGCCAGTGTATCAGTTATTATTCTTGGGCTTCAGGGCTACAGTTCTTTGAGATGGAGGTACTGTATGTGAGAGACCCCCACAACTCTTAGGCTATGTCTAGACTGCAAGCCTCTTTCGAAAAAGAGCGTCTAGACTGCAAGCAGTACTTTCGAAAAAGCAAGCCGCTTTTTTTGGAAGAAAGCAGCGAGTGAGTCTGGATGCTCTCTTTCTAAAAAGCCCTGTTGGCATTCAAGAACGCCTTTTTTCGAAAGAGCACTTTCGAAAAAAGGCGTTCTTCCTTGTGAAATGAGCTTTACCGCCATCGAAAGAAAAGCCACGTTCTTTCGATTTAATTTCAAAAGAACGTGGCTACAGTCTAGACGCAGGTGAAGTTTTTTCAAAAAAAGGCTACTTTTTTCGAAAAAAAACCCTGAGTCTGGACACAGCCTTAGAGATTGCTTGTGCTTAGTTGCAGATTAATCAAAACCAACACTGCATCATTTCGCATTCATAATATTTAAAAGTAGAAACTTTTACAATAAAAGTGCAAATTCTAAAGAAACAAATAAGCCCAGGAGAAATGTGTTGGTTGAGTAACTTTTGGCTCCATCCAACCACTGTTAGAAAGCTCAGGTTTCCTTTAGGGATGTTAAAATGCATTTTTTAAAGTAAATGTGCAACAGCTGAAAATTTCAGCAGTTACACACAGGTGGGGGGCAGTCAGCTCCCACCTGCACGCACATACACACACATGCGCGTGCGCGCAGCTGCCTCTATATTTTAAAAAACAAAACAAGTAAAGGCTGGGGATGGGTAGCTCCCCAGCAGCGCAAGAGGGCAGGTGTCTTCGGCTTAAGAGCCGGCTTCCTGCATGTACTGGATCCTGCCTGCTCTCCTCCACCCCACACCACCACCAACACTGCTGCCTCTGATACAGAGGCAGCAGTGCAGGGGGGATGTACTGGCTGTGTATAACCATGCACATTAACCAGTGAGCCCACGCCCTTGTTTAAGCAGTTAACTGATTATGTTTAACCGATTACATGGGATTTTACATCCCTAGTCTCCTTATCTGTCTACTGTCTGGCAACACCTCACTTTCCTGACATGATGATTAAGGAAGTCCGAATGTTTAGCTCCTAGAGTTTCCCTGTGTAATTTTACTTTTTGTGCTTTTCCAGCTCAATTATAATAATAAATGGACTCAGCACAGTTTCTTGAAATACAGCCATCTCTGGGAGAGGAGATTGGCAACTAACCTGAGCAGGTCACAATTGTATGAAAGAAGAAGAAATTTGACTAAAGGATGTCTGGGCAAATGCTTATCATAAATTTAAAAAGTGGTGTGAGACTTTTACAGTTCATATAAGTAAGCAGAATTTCTTTCTCACAGGTTCTATTAAGGAGACATTAAATTACTTTCTTTGCCATTGATCTGGTGACGTCTCTCATGCATCTCTTTGAGAACTCTACTGGATTTACAGTGGTGGAAGATCAGAATCTAGCCCCAAGACTAACATCATTCATTTGTACTCTATGTATTTGGAAGCTTTGTGAAGCAGAGAAATTCTGAAGTCCCAGCCCCCAAATGGTTAAAGAGTGTGTACGTACGCATTGAATCCGGGAACACGATGTATTTCTTAGAGTGTTTCCTATGGGAATTTTTCATGCTTCAGGTACATAATACAATAGAAGCCCTTACTTGGCAGCTGTTAATTGCTAAAAGCACATAAAGGTATTTTTCTTTGAAAAGAACGTAGATTGGATTTGTTGTGACTCACTTCCTGGAACAGGTGCAATATCTCTTGACTTTATCTGGGTAACAAAAGTTGCTCTCCAAGTACAATATTGATTGTAATTTCAATTTTGAAATTCAATTTGAAAATTTGTTCCCAAGTCAGTTCAGTGAATGGTAAGTCTCTGTATTCACTATTCAGTGTTAGAAGGCCAGTTTATGACATCGTAATTTGGTTGCTGTATCTAAGTGTCTTTTTAATAATAAAGACACAAATGGTTCCCTTATTTACATGTATGTTGAAGAGCTATAGTACTTAGCATTGATACAGCTAATACAATACAAAATGACTTTTTCCCTTTCCTCACTCAGATTTTTCTGCTGTGAAGTTGGCAGTTCCTTGGGCCATACTAGATAAGGTACCTTTAACATATTCATAAATGCACATTACAGGTGTATTATAAATAATCAGAAATTATTCATTTTCATCTTTGTGCTTTACTGCGTCTCCATTGTAAAATTAAATTAAATCCCTTCTTTCATCCTTTCTGTTCCTTCCCTTCTGGGTTGAAGAGGAGGCGTAACATCATGGTATGGGTGAGAAAGGAAAAGGGGCTTACAGTCTGACCCAGCGCTTATAAAGTAAATAGTGCTGATCTCAAGTGTCCTTTTAATCAGGCTCCTATTCAATAAAACATCCTCAGCTCTGCTAAATTTCTCAGATCACTTTCTTGAAAAAAAATCCCAGTTGTGAATCCTAGGCACAACAAGGTATTACAGGCTTGGATAAAACAAATGCATCCAACTTTTCCTTATCAGATGCCAAAGGGGTAATATTTGCCAAGATAGTGGGAAAAAAAGACTTCTGTTATATAGTCATCTTTTTTATCCTTTCATGCTTTGTTTCATAATGACCTCTATCTCAGGTTGTTTCCTATTTCTAATCCCCAGAGGAAATCCCTATTTCTTTCCGAGAGATAAAACATTAGAACAAAGGGAAAGTAGCAGGAACTTGCTGGTCTCTGTACTATAGAATTTCACTGAAGCCTTTCCAAGCCCTGCTGATGGAACCCAAAGGCTTACAGTGTTTGTTCCTACACCTGTATTGAATATCAAGGTCTGGGGTAAGATTAATCATTTAGAAGCAAAGTGTGCTTGCAGGAGCTATTATTTATTAGGGCTATACAAACAACTGTGTCAGAGATAGAATTATGTGATGTTCAAAGCTGGAAAACCTTCTGCCTGCAAATTTTTTAAAAAGTAGGTAAAATCCAGAAGAGTTGCACTCAAGAGGTCTGCTGCTTCATGTTACCTTCATCTTGCACACTTTGGAAAATGAAGCATAGATGCAATATTTGGGGGATGAAAAGGACAAAATACTCCAGCCAGCATTTCCTTTTCATGAGAGCACTTGTCTAACACATTAGGAGCTTTTTAATCTTTTTATTATTATTTTTACCCTAAAATATATGTTGTGAGCACAGAACTCAGGGTTGTGTCTGGTGATTTATTAAATTAAATAAACTAATGACTCAATTTATATTAATCAAACCAGACATGTCTATCAAACATAAACATTCCAAAATACAGTAATTCCTCATTTAACACTATAGATGCGTTTCTGAAAATGTTTGTGCTAAGCGAAAACATGCTATGCGGGGTCAATTTTCCCATTAAAAATAATGGAAAAGGTGGGGGTTGCGTTTCAGGTGGTGGTGGCCAACTCAATTTTTTGTTGGTGCTGGGTCGTCAACAACATTAGATATCTAGCAAAACAAGATATCTAGCAACAAAAGTTGCCGCGCTTTGTTAAAACACAAAGATAAACACGTGAGTGAGTGGAGGAGCGCTGTGACACGTGTATTCATCCACTCATGCATATTACTGTACCACTGTTTTCACCAATTTATACTGCCATGCGAAGTAGTCCGCCACTTGATTATTCTTATGTTATTCCAGGGACAGTCGATCCCTAAAAAAAATCGTGCTATTGCGAAAACCTGTTAAGCGGGCACATGTTAAACGAGTAATTACTGTATAGAACAGGGGTGCTGCTGTCCCCTGCAGGCAAGTGTACTTTGAATAGTAACCAAATACTTAAGTATCTATTTGTCCTCTGTCTATATTGCCGGATATATAATTAATTAGTTTTTCTAATAATAACTTTCTATATTTTTAATTTTTTTCTAAATTTGGACAACTTTACATTGGAAATCATGTCAGTCGCCTAAAATCAACTAGCAGATGAGAGATTAATTCTTCATCTCTTTGGATATGATCATTTCTGCAATTAAAGGTTTCTTTATACAAGATCTGGTTTGCTCCTTTGGTATTCTCTTGGACAATCTCTTAATTCTCATATTGTATCTCTTCTTTATATTTTCTATATCATCTAAATTAATCTGAATCTTTTTTTTTTTCTGATCCAGCAGCGCTGTTCAGCTGTTGAGCTCTGTCCTTTCTA